ATGGATTTTCATCAAAAAAATATTTATTTATTTATTTAATCCACATGTCATGATGTGATTGGACATGTGGGCTCCACTTATCTTCCACATCATACACTTAACATAATTTTTTACGGCAATGACCATTTGTGATAAAAAGTCCAAACATTAAGGACTATTACTGTCACAAAAAAACCTCAAGGACCATTCGTGATAATTTCGTAAACATCAAGGACCATTTGTGATAAAAAGCCTTTTCAAAATTCTTCAATTTTGTCTTTTTATGGCAGCTAGCTGTTGTTGTCAAAAACAAATTTGTAACTTCACGCGTATTGGCGCACTTAAAACCCGACCGTTGGAAAAAGCACAGAACACCACCGATTTCATTTCCTCAAACCCTAAGCCCCAATCGTTCGTCTTCCTGTTCTCCGAATGAAGAATTCAAGTGTAGCCGCTCATTCTCAGTTACAATTCCAATTTACCCAAGAAATATTTTGTATTTTCTGTGAAGAAATCATGAAACGGAAGGCAGAGCAAGAATTAAAAGAAGGAGGGGAAAAGCAAAGGATGTGGTGGGGTGATGGAAAGCAGTGGGAGAGAGGGGAGATGATCGGAGAAGGAAGCTATGGGTTTGTTTTTCTAGCTTTTTGGAAAAAAAAAACCCCTTTGGGAGCTTAATCTGAATGATACGCCTCCAGCTCCAGTCATGGCAGTCAAATCTACTAAGCTCTCTGATTCAGAATCCATTCAGCATGAGGCAGGTATTCTCTCTGATTTTATAGGTTCCCCTTTTGTGATTCAGTACTTAGGTGAAGAAATCACAACCATTGATGACACAAGTGAAGAAATATTCAACTTGGCTTTGGGATTTGCTGCTGGAGGGACCCTCGATGGCCTGATTCAGAGCTATAGAGGTCATGGGCTGCCTGAGTCTGATGTGAGAAGCTACACCAGGTGCATACTTGAAGGGCTTTTACATATTCACAATTGTGATTATGTTCACTGTGATTTGAAGCCGGAGAACCTCCTTCTTTTTCCTAGTGATACTAGCACCAGTGGTAGTTCTAGTTTTGTGGCCAAGATTGCTGATTTCGGATTGACCAGAGCACCAAAGATGATATGGATGGATGGAGAGGCACGCCTTGGTATACAGACCCAAATGCTTTGATTGATAATGTGCAGAAGCAGTGCTATGATATTTGGTCTCTTGGTGCTATTGTGATTGAGATGTTAACAGGCAAGCCCCCTTGGGATGTGGAGCCTAATTCGACTCTTGATGATTTCATCGACATGGTTGCTGGGGAAATAACTCCCAAAATCCCTACTGAAATCTCTGGTTTGGCAAGGGATTTTCTTATGAAGTGTCTTGCAGTCAACTCATGGGAAAGGTTTACTACTCAAAAGCTCCTACTTCATCCATTTGTACAGGAGCCACAACTATCTGAACCAGGTCATGCCAAGGTGATGTTTGTGCCTAATAAATCACGGCCATAAAATGGCCGAAAGGACCTTCCTCGGCCTTAGCACCTATTCATGAACTAAAACGTGGCGTTTCGTCAGATGTTTGGCCTTCCTAAAAACAAAGGAAAAGCTGCGAAGGCAGAATCATCTCGGCCTCGACCGTGGCATTATGGGCCGAGGCCGAAGGACGAAAGAGTCACGACCAAAGGGATTAGAGTCAAATCGCCCCGTGGCAGCAGGGTCCCACGCTTCATTTAATGAAGTAACGCCTCTGACTAGCAAACCCACTAGCTGCAAAATGGCATTTAATGCACAAGGGAATAAGGGAAGTGACTGAAGTCAGGATTTGGTGACAGAAATCAGAGTGATTAGGTGCAAACATACTTACAAAAATTCTTACAGATTGAGGTCAGATCACCAATCACCAAACAAGGGCATTAAATGCGTCCCCACGGCCAGAAGCGCAGAACCCACGATCAGGGCGGCGGTCGAGATTTACCAAGATTTATGGGGTCACACCACCATGCTTCACGATCCCAAATGTCGATTGGACTACCCACTTGTTCTAATCAGGCTCCACCATGCAGATTTTCAGCCTCGATTACTCCTCCAAGAGCTCTCCCTATAAATATCAAACTCGAGCCACATTCAAAGGGTTCAAACACCAAACCAAAAGCCTCCCACGGAGCAAATTATATTTTCCTGTAATGCACTTTCAATATCTTTACTTGCTTTCCTAAGAGTAGTGTTAGGTTGTAAGAAAAATCCATTCATCAATATATCATACGACCCTTGATTTTCAAGGCGCTGGAGCACCATCTCTGTTACTCTTTCATTCATCCCATATATCATACGACCGTCGCTCCCTGAGCAACGTGCCGGAGCAACGCCCAAAATCCACCATCAACACCACCACTAAACGGCCTTGTAGCTCAGGTCTTGAACCTGACTGCCGAGATCAGTTCCTCTCTCGGCCACAATCGTTTGATTAGGAGTCGAACTCAAACAGGGGCACCACTTAACCACTTCACCCATATCACCATCTCGACACACGGTAGACCGTGCTGGCACGCCTGCGCACAACCGCACCGCATCCAAAAGAAGGAAGCCACGTGTTAAACGCATATCCCCTCCGCCCGGAGCTCCAGGCCGTGAGATTTGCGCAGCCAACAGGTGAAGGTGCTTAGCTCATCTTTGGGCTCCAAAGATGGTGCCTCTTGCTTCAAACCAATTGAAGATTACTGCACAAACT